GCAAGAGAAATGCGCAATGCAAAGAAGGCTACAAAATGGCGGGAAACACTTTTCTGCACGCGGGGTCTCTATAACAACGGAACACTCTGTCGTGCAAAAGAGCTGCAATTCGGCGGGAACATAATTTAGCAGTGCCGAAGCACACACAATCAAAAAATCCACAACTTTGGGTTGTGACACTTACATGGGCATCAGAGGGACACCAGCCTACCAACTGATGATGCTGATTTGGTGCAAAGTCACTTGGATGGACTGGATGTGTTTACATCAGCAGGCCCAAGTGAGCTTCATCCGAGAGTACTGAAGGAATTGGTTGGTGTCATTGCCGAACCACTGGCACAGCTGTCTGAGTGTTCATGGCACTCAGGTTAGGTCCTGGCAGACCGGAAACGGGCCAGTGTGGTCCCTATTTTCAAGAAGAGGAGGAAGGAGGATCTGAGTAATTACAGGCCAGTCAGTCTCACCTCCATCCTTGGAAAGGTCTTTGAAAAGATTATGAAGGATCATATTTGTGGGAGTCCAGTGGGAAAAACAATGCAGAAGGGAAACCAGCATGGATTCGTATCAGGTAGATCATGCCTGACCAATCTGGTTTCGTTTTATGACAGGGTCACAAAATGCTTAGATGCAGGAGTAGAGGTGGATGTCGTTTTCTTGGATTTTAGTAAGGCCTTCGATACGGTATCTCATCCCATTCTCATAAATAAAGAGGCTGTGACATACATGTTTACATGGTCCGGTGGGTGGCAAATTGGCTTGGGGGTCACACCCAGAGTGGTAGTAGATGGTTAGGTAACAACCTGGAAGGATGTAGGTAGTGAGGTCCCTCAGGGTTCGGTCCTTGGACCAGTACCCTTCAATATCTTCATCAGCAACTTGGATGTGGGTGTGAAGTGTACTCTGTCTAAGTTTGCAGATGATACTAAATTGTGGGGTGAAGTGCACACTCCAGAGGGTAGGGAACGATTGCAGGCAGACCTGGGGCAGTTTCACTCCTTAGTCTGGTTTTGTAGGTGCTAATTGATGGCAATTAACTGGCTACATTAGCTAGGTCCTGCGTATTGAGCTGGTCCCTGAGTGAATCATGATTGACTGGTAACTGGTAACACAGTAGCTTAGCAGCCAGGCCTGCAGTAATGTCTCTCACACCCCAAGACAGACACATCAGCCCCACAAACACCCATGGCACAAGTTTTGCCTGTCAGCAGCTAGGAGTTCAGGGCCCCAGAACCCCCTTGCACTGATCTCCTTGAAAGCTGGCCGGCATCGTGGCCACAGCAGGGGCCACCATCCCTGCAGCTGTCACCCTGCTGCGCCTTAACACACACAGGGTCACCCACGGCACAAGTTTTGCTTGTCCACAGCTTGACGGGCAGTTCCCCCCAAACCCCTACACCGATCTTCTTGAAACTTGGCAGGCTTGGTGGCCTCAGTAAGAGCTACCATCCCTGCAGTCTTGACCCCTCTGTGGTGTAACACCTAGACATGACATGAGTTTAGCTTTCAAGAATTTGAGGTGCAGTTCCTCCCAAACCCCTACGCTGATCTTCTTGATACTTGGCAGGCTTCATGTTTTCCACAGAGTCTACCACCCCTGAACATTTCATTGAAATTGGACAAAAAACAACAAAGTTATAGATATTTTATTGTTTCCCCATTATACCCTATGGCTGGATCTCCGAGGCGGCTCTGAATCGCTTCGGGAAGCCGAATGAGGCCAGCGCTTCGACCTGGACATGCTGCTTTGGACCCCGAAGCATCCGAAGCTTCTCCAGATCCAAAGCTCTGTCCGAAGCCTCGCACAGCCCTAGATGCAGGCTGCCTACTGCAGGCTTGGAGCTCGCTGCCTTATGCCCTCTCCCCAGGAGCCCCACACTGCCACAATGAGGCAGCAGCAGGGGCAGCAGCACAAGAGTTGTACCCCCCGCTGTTGCCAGGTGGGCAGGGGGTACCTCGCCACGGTGGTGCAGGGCTCCCAGGGAGAGGGCAGCAGGGTGAGGAGCTCCGAGCCTGCAGCAGTCTGCCTGTATCCGTCTGCACCCCTGCCCCACACGGGGACCGCTCAGCTGTGCTCTGGCTGTGCCATGGGGCGGGGCGGGGGGGTATCATCTTACCCCCCTGACCCCGTCAAAAATAAAAGTTGGCTCCTATGCTAACCACAATTTCTTTCATCACTGAGAAAGTTACCTGATCTCTCAAACTCTTTTAGCTGGTTGTAGGATGCTTGTGCTGACCTTAAATCCAAGGTGATTCATAGTTTCATAGTTTCATAGTTTCAGGGTCGGAAGGGACCTAATAGATCTTCTAGCCCGACCCCCCGCCAGGGCGGGAGAACAACCCAAAAACACAAACAAAACCACTCACCCTAAAAACAAAAACGGGACTCAAATGAGTCCAGCCAGGTAAGTATCCAGCCTCTTCTTAAAGATCCCCAGGGTAGGGGCCAGCACCACCTCCCTTGGAAGTTGGTTCCAGCTCCTAGCCGCCCTGACTGTGAAGTAGTTTTTTCGGATGTCCAATCTGTACCTCCTCTCCATCAACTTGTGCCCATTATTCCTTGTTATGCCAGCAGGGGCTAGGGGAAACAGCGTCTCCCCCAAACCCTTCTGGTTCCCCCTAGTGAGTTTATAGACGGTCACCAGGTCCCCCCTCAGCCTTCTCTTGTGGAGGCTGAATAGGTTCAAGTCCCGCAGTCTCTCACTGTAGGGTCTGCCCTGTTGTCCCCGGATCATGCGGGTGGCCCTCCTCTGGACCCTCTCCATGTTGTCCACATCCCTCCTGAAATGGGGCGCACAGAACTGGACACAATACTCCAGCTGCGGCCTGACCAGCGTCGCATAGAGGGGGAGGATCACCTCCCTGGCTCTACTCGAGATGCACCTGTGGATGCACGACAAGGTCCGGTTAGCCCTGCCAACCATGACCTCGCATTGTCGGCCCATGTTCATCTTGGAGTCAATAATGACACCAAGATCCCTTTCCGCCTCCGTGCTCTCAAGTAGGGAGTTCCCCATCGTATAAGTGTGCTGCTGGTTCCTACTACCCAAGTGCAGCACCCTGCACTTGTCCGTATTGAAACGCATCCTGTTCCTGTCTGCCCACCCCTGTAACCTATCCAGATCCTTCTGCAATCTCTCTCTCCCTGCTAGCGTGCTCACCTCCCCCCAAATTTTGGTGTCATCAGCGAATTTAAACAGGTTGCTCTCCACCCCAACATCAAGATCGCTGATGAAGACATTGAACAGCGCAGGGCCCAGGACCGAGCCCTGAGGGACTCCACTACCCACCTCCCCCCAAGTCGAATATGATCCATCCACCACCACCCTCTGAGTGCGACCCTTCAGCCAATCTGCAATCCATCTGACCGTGTAGGCATCTATGCCACAGTCGCCTAGTTTACTAATTAGGATGGGGTGAGAGACGGTGTCAAAGGCCTTGCTGAAGTCCAGAAAGACTACATCCACCGCGACACCTGCATCCATGGCCTTTGTGACCTGATCATAAAAGGCAATCAGGTTGGTCTGACATGATCTCCCCCTAATAAATCCATGCTGATTGCCCCTGAGCATCATCTCGGATGCCGGCCCATCACAAATGTGCTCCTTGATGATCTTCTCAAAGAGCTTCCCCAGGATTGAGGTAAGACTGACGGGCCTATAATTGCCCGGGTCCTCCCTTTTCCCTTTTTTGAAGATGGGGACCACATTAGCTACCTTCCAATCGTCTGGCACCTGGCCCAAGCACCACGATCGCTCGTAGAGCCGTGCCAGGGGCCCTGCAATAACCCCAGCCAGCTCCCTCAGCACCCTGGGGTGGAGAGCATCCGGACCCGCTGACTTGAACGCGTCCAGCCCCTCCAGAAGCTCTCTAACCCGGTCCTCCCCAACCTGAGGTCTGAAGGCGATCCCCTTGCGTCCGGCTTCTATCACAGCAGGGAAGTCCCGTTCCCTGCACAAGAAAACGGAGGTGAAGAATTGGTTAAAGAGGTCCGCTTTATCCTCTGACGCAACCACCAGATTGCACCGCATATCCTGCAGGGGCCCCACATTACCCGGCGCCTTCTTCATCCTCCCAATATATTTGAAAAAGGACTTTTTGTTATCCTTAATCCTGGACGCTAATCCGAGCTCTATCTCCGCCTTGGCCTTCCTAACAGCCCGCCTGCAGGCCCGAGCAGAGGAGGTATACTCCTCTTTGGAGATTACACCCCCCTTCCACCGGGCGTACGCCACCCTTTTGGCAAGCAGGCATTCCCGGACACCCTTGGTGAGCCAGGGGGGCTTTTGGACACTCCTGCCCGCCTTGATTGACACTGATTAGCTGTGTGACAAACTATGCTCATTTCTCTGTGGTTAGGGGCAATTTCTGGAAGTCCCCCGAGCTATGCTGTTCACAATGAGATGTTAACGGAGCGAGTAATTGGAGGACACGAGGCCCAACCGAACAGCTGGAAGTGGCAGGTAAAGCCTTTTTCATTTTTTAAATTTGAAATCTGCACAGTAAAACAGAAAGTTTGAGAACATGACAGCAAAGCAAAAATGCAGGATGTCAGACGTAGCCAGAGTTCTGCTGGGTCTAGTCAGGGCAAAGCAAGAACCTTAGTAACACTTACTGTCCATCCAGCACACAAATACAAAACAGCAGCTGGCATTCACAAACCATCCCCTAACTCAGGAGTGGGCAAAATGCAGCCCACGGGCCGGATGCGGCCCTCCAGGCCATTCTATCCGGCCCACCAGGCCATCCTATCTGGCTCGCAGGGCCCCTAAAAAAATTAGAAAATGAATATATCTGCCCCTGGCTGCCTGGCACGTGGCCCTTGATGGCTTGCCAAAACTCAGTAAGCGGCCCTCTATCCAAAATAATTGCCCACCCCTGCCCTAACTGCAGCAGCCTGGAGTCTCTATATGGAATGGCTCAGTATCAAGAATTTAGAAAAACATTAGTCCTGAAACCACAGAGAAAACTAACAGACAGTTGCTTTGACTGGGCTGCAGTTTCCTAGGAGAGACTGCTTGTTTAAAGTATGATTCTGATTAGACAAGTGATCAATTAGATGAAAAATGGCACGTCCTTATATATGTTTGTGTCTTGTACAGCTCTAATCATTTGTGTCTTTTTTCATCAAAAATACATGTTTTCCTTATTTCCTTTTACTCCTGTTTAGCACCAGTTTGCTGGTAGAGCTATGGAAGAATGGGTTGATGCTATGTGTCGTTTAGGTTTCTTCAACAGAATTGTTAATTGAGCTTCTGCATTTTTATTAGTTAGGCTTGGTCACCACTAAGGAAAAGGCATATTTTTAACTCATGGTATCTAATGGATGTAAAATCCTAATACAGCCAAGGAAATTAAAATTTGTCAGATATGTGAGATAGAGGAGGGAAATCCTTTCATTACCTCCATTGGTCATGATGTTTTGCTGGGGCTACACTGCAATATATATGGTAACACAAGTTTAAAAATGTAGTTCTTCTCCTAAGCAGACATGGCAGCAATGATGTGTGAGTCTACGAAAGGCTTCTGTGAATTTCCGCTCCCAGTGTGAGTTCATATTCCCTGTATTTAAAAAAAATCTTTTTGTTCATAGATTAAGCAATTTAACGTAGTTACATAGAACCTCTTGACAATTTTACAGAGCCTCTTCTAAGAATTTAACTGCTTTTTAACAAATTTACTTTCCATTTAACAAATTATATTCACCCTCACTATGAAGATGAGGTTAGTTTCACTGACCTCTCATATCTAGATGTCACTGGTAATATTTAGTGGTACCATACGAACCACAATTTTACATGCCCTCGGTAAAAATAACAAAACTAGGAACAATTAAAAGAATCCATCAGCAATTATTGTGAGTCCCCTTTTAAAATCACAGAATGAAAGTTTTAAGTGACACAAAGAGTATTTCATTTTAGATGGTTATACTGCATGAATTATTCTACAGTTGAGGTAGAATTCTAATTCCCATTCTTATAAAGCAAATAAAGAAATTCCCCATAAGAAATAAAAGGAAAATATGAATCAAGATATATTTGTTAGGGTGACGATATTTGGATCTTGGGGAGCACTGGGCGTGCAGCTGAATAAAGGCTTTTTCCTGTGTCTCAGCAAAAGCTGCTGGTCACAGCACTGGATGATACATTAAAAGTAACTTTGCTAATGCTTAAGTAAGCAGATTCCTAACAAAAGGGTAGGGTGCAAAGTGCATGATGTGTTGTGTAAAAATAGGATACAGACCAACGGCTATCGTTAGGGGACAAAGCACAAGTATGGCATTGGAGATGGTGCTGAAGTCAGCAAGAAACCAGAAAGAACCAGCAAGAAACCACAACTGACTGGGAGAAGATGGGGGTCAAAGTCTTACGCATGCACTCTTAGCAGAGAGGCATGTAAATGAATGAAATGCGTAGGCCATACTATGCTAAGGAAGCAAACAGGAAACGGGCAGAGCTTGAGATGGGAGGAGAAATGGGTGGGACCGAAGGAGGGACATAGGCGGGGTAAATGTTAATAAGTATGAACCAAGGTGTATAAATGTGGAAAGAACTATTGTTCGGTGTGGCTCTCCGGTTTGTTGGTTGTTTGGGAGCTAGCCCGAAGCTGTCTCCATTCTGAATAAAGCTGTTGCGAGCAATGTGTGCTGGGGTTTGCTCCCTGCTCGCTCTGGCTAATGAGTAACAGGATCCATGGGCAATTGGATCGTCATCTCCCTGGTCATTGGGCGCTGCATTGATTGGGGTCTAACAATATTTACTTCTTAATGCTATTACTGTGTATTATTTCTTCCAGCATACTGTTCTGATATTACTTAATGTTGAATACATATGAACATTGGTTCTATAGGTTAGTGAGTTTTTGACTTGAGTATACTTCTGGATTTCTTTGGTTTACTTTACCAAGCTATGCTTCACTTGCTCTATATCCTCTCTTTTGATATTTTTGCACTTTGGAATTACAAGCTTTTTACTTTTGTATCTATTGAATAATGTGAAACAGTCTGTGTAGAGGAGCATCTGTTAAGCCTGTTAGTGTTAAAAATCTTACATTAAAAGTAAATTCTTCTATAGCCTCAATTGTTGGCAATCCTACTTTGTAAAATAAAAAATGAATATATCAGCTTTGATTTAAGAATGACACTGAAGGGATGCTTCTGTCCTCTATCTGCATGGCACAAAGCAGTGCCATGCACAGAAAGCCAAACTAGCTTTAAAGAAGCTGGCTGAAGTACTGGAAGCAGTGTATCCACACTAGCACAACTAATGTATCTGTACTGCCACCAGTACATGCATCTCTCTGTGTTGCATTTGCATTGTGTCATGCAGATATACCAGAGAGACCTTGTAACTCTCTCCTGATCAGCAGCACTCCTTGGAAAGGACTCTGCTGAGACCAACTATTTTGAGTTTAACTTGCAGAATGATGTCTCAGAGGGAGCTCAAGGAGCCACTGCTACCTGTGAGCTAATCAAATGCAGCTATTTAGGAGAAAGGTGTTCTTAAGTAATAGTCCTATGTCAGAGCTGGACAAACTGAAGCGCAGAGAGATTTGAACAGATGGTTCTCTGCAGTCACTGGCAGAATTCTTCTCCCCAAACCCCACCCAGCCGTGGTCCCACCCCTATGGGTCATTTTTGTTTGACCGCTCATCCCAAAGAATGGCAGGTCTTAAACAGGTGTTTCCCTGGCTCCATAAAGCTTCATTTATACCTTAGAATTATACCCAAGCCTGCAGGTTCTTCAGAGATTCATGATAAGGATGTTCCACATTCAGATATTTCACCTGCAGATGAATCCCAAAGGAGTAGCTTTCTGTTGCACACTGGACTCGAGTGTTCATATATATTGCTATTATATTGAACCCCTTCATCAGCCTTTGTCTATGCTAGGAAAAAATGGTTCTTTCCACCCAGATAGCTCTTAGAAGTGTTAATCCTTGTCTATATTGCTTTTTAGTGAACAATTGAGTCACATCAGCTGGAATGAGGTAATTTCACTGAAAAGGAGCCTTTTTAATTAGGTCAGGCAAGACCTTGGAGACAGCCTTGCTTTGTATCATGCTGAGCCTGGACTAGTAGCAGCTGGCAACAAAGCACACACAAAAAGCAAGTGTCTGCCTGTTTGCGTTTTCAGTCATTCTGAACCTCTCGTTATTTTTGCCAGCCACAGGTGGAGCCTGGTTATGTGCCACATTGCTAATCAGAATAGCGCACACAAGTGCCACGGCAGTCATGAACAAAACTTTGACATATTGTATTTTGCCATTTGATCCAGGTGTCCCTCCAACTTGCTTATGCACATGCTCCTGAGTATTTTTACCATGTCTGTGGTGGCACACTCATTAGTACTACATGGGTCATGACAGCCGCCCACTGCATCAACACGTAAGTACAATAGTAAGAGACTTTAAACTCTCAGTACAAGTCTCAGATCTCACTCTGGACCGCTGCTGGGCTGCTCAAACACTCCGAGTTCTCAGCACATTCATTCTGGTCAAGGCAAGCTGGTATTAATACACAGTTAGTTTCATGATATATAGAAAATCTCTTATTTGATTCACTGAATATATTTACACATAACTGCTGACTTCTGGAAAGCAATTGGTTGATTGTATATTTACATGATGGTATACGTGATAGCATAAATTTGAGTTTTTCAATACATTTAAATTGGTATTATTATGCATAGAGGCTGAGGGAGGGAGAGAAACCCTGCCGTCATCCATTCTCAGCCATAGCTTATGTGCTGTGTAACACGCCCATATAATTAAGATCATAATATAAACCATAAATAATAAACCATATATACAATGCATTATATACAAATGAACACATCTTCAATTGCTTATGCCTTTGGCCAATACATCATTAACCAAAGCACTCATAGCATGCTCATCATCTCATTCTAGACAGACCAATAATTGCAACATGAACAGTTCCAGATTCCTGCTAGTCTGAGAACGTTGTAAGCAGCTGAACAAGAGGACAGACAGAACAGCTTTTGTTCCCTGACCAGCAAAATACAGATGTACATCCCTAATACAATAGAATATTTGGCTGAAATTTATCCTGAGATGGAAAATGCTATAGAGATGACTGTAATGGGAGGTGGGGTGGGCAGGGAAGTTTACTGCCACAGAATCTGTGATACAAAGCTATTCCTGTGGAGTTAGGGGGATACTGTACAGTAACTCTTTTGCAATTTATTTTTAGGCCAACTGGAACAATATACCGAGTGGCTCTGGGTGACCACAATCTGTTCAACTTTGATGGCACTGAGTATTTTATCGGTGTTGATGGAATATTCATTCATGAGGGTTGGGACCCCTCTGACATTGCAAATGGGTAACTAATCTCAAATACCACCTTGCCGCATGACTGAATGATGAGGTATTTATACTAGTGCCTGTTCCCACAAATGTCCCTGCCCAGATTCTCTCCAATATCTGCTGAGGAAAGTCTTGTGGGAAGCCCTGAACCTGGGTTCCTGGTCTGCTAGCTTCCTGCATGACCTTCAGCAAGCTGCTTAGGGACAGACTTAATAAAAAGACAGACTAAAAAGTAGGTGACTTTTGGGTGCCCCTTCCCCAGATGGAATCCGGAGCAGTGTCCAGAGCTCTGGGATCTCTACACAGTGCATGGGGAGAATTAGGTGGCTCCCAATGGGACCCAAAATAGCCAGCTGGCTGAGCAGAGGCTCAGCCTACATGTAGGGCATAACAATACTGAGACCAGCAGCTACTTTGCTGTAGTGACACGCTCCCCGGTATAGCACGCCGCTACGGCGATGTAGCTGCTCAAAATAACCGTGCATCATACGTAGGGTGAAGTATGGGCTGTTACTGCACCATGATTTAGTGCTTCCAAACGGAAGTACCAAATCACAGCACAGTAACAACATTGCTGTAGCGACACATGTAGACGTGCCCAGCGTGCATCAATGGGGGATGCTAAGGGCAAGGGAAGGTCTGAAATCCTACCCCCAAGGTAACTCCATCTACTCAGGACCACAGCCCTGTGCCACCTCCGGAAGAACGGCACCTGTGCTCTTTTTGTCCAAGAAGGAGTGCGGCTTACTGTGTTCTTCTACGACATGACTGCTGGGGGGGACAAGCTGTCACCCTCTGTTTGTAATGGCTTGGTGGGTAGGACTCCTGGCCAGGAAGTGGGAGGTCTAGGCTCAATGCCCTCTTTAGCCACAGAGGGCTCAAACCCATTTCTTCTTCCCAGGAGAAATGCCCTAAAACCACTTGTTCAGAGGCTAGGCTGTCTGGAGGCAGTCTCCAAACACGCTGCAGATTTGTTCAAGGTTCAGTAGGCTAGAAAGAGAGCGTGGGCAAAAGGGAGCCCTGCTCTGTAGCTGAGTGGTTAGGACACTTACCCAGGAGGGCAGAGGCTTCTGGTGCCTGCTCCCAGGCCTCTTTCTCTATTTTTCTTGACACAGTCATTAGACAAAACAGTTCTGGGACCAGGGAATGGGACCCACGTCTCTCCCCTCCCTAGTGTGTGAGAGGCAGGTGTGGGCGATGTGGATTGCAATACCCTCAGGCAGAGGAGGGAATTAAACCCAGCTCTCCTATCCACAAACCCCCTCCACTACTCCTCCAGGATACCTGATCAGATCCAGGGGTAGCACTGGGGGCCAAGTGACAGGGCCCCATGGGCTGGATCTGGCTTGCGAGCCATATGCATGATAGCTCATCTCTAGCCACCAGAATATCATATAAAAGAAGGGCTTTAACAGTACCATCACTACCAACATTTTCAAAGAAAGTGGCAGTAACCACTGCAGAGAGCCCAATCTTGCTAGGGTGCATTATGGTATACTCGGAGAACATGCATGGGATGGAGTCTGGCAAGGGGACTTGGGTGAAGTAACACCACGTTTCTGGATCTCTGTCAGACTTAGGCCTGTGCATGAGCAGAAAAACAGTTTACAGGCACCTGGGGAACTGTTAGGTCACAAACTCTGCCATCTCTGGAGTGAGGTGCTTCCAGGGTTACATGGTACCTGAGAAGGGGTTTTCAAAATGGCAATTTTGGACCTACGTCTCAAAGTCCTATGTTAGATGTACCTAAACTCTGTGCCTCAGCTCTCCACCTGTAGTGTGGGGTTAATAATTCCCTGTCTGATGGGGTCATTATTGTGTGTGAGGTCTCAGACACATGGGTGATGGCGGCCATACACGTACCTAGAGAGGTGAGTGAAAACCAACTGAAGTGTCAGGTTTTGGCTATTGACTGACTAGAATTTCCAGCCAGGCTCTGAAAGCCTATTATCTGTGTCCTGTTTCAGCAACGACATTGCCTTGCTGCGTCTCTCTGCTTCTGCCTATGATAATGGCTTTGTTGAGCTAGGATTACTTCCAGCCGAAGGAGACATCTTGCCTAATAACTATCCATGCTACATTACTGGATGGGGAGTAACTACTAGTAAGTGGAAAAAAATGTTTTGCAGTTTAGAAAGACCATGCCAGATTCAAGCCCTTGTGTGAATCAAGTCTGTTGACATGCATCTTCTCCAATGCAAAGAGTGACAGAAGGGAATCCTGCCCCCAAATGAATCGAATGCCAAGACATTCTGAAAGACAGCAAAATTCACCACGGTGCACTGCTGCAGCCCTGCTGTGACAGGACCGAGAGGATGGTGTCATCTCTGCATTATTAAATTCTGACAGTTGAGCTATGCCAGCGAAGGGTGTGGAAAGATCACCCCGCATAACTGCCCTACCTTTGCTGACAAAGTTCTCGCTGTGGACTCAGCTTTGCAGCCAAAGGCTGCTGCCATTCAGAGGAGCTATTATAAACCTGGCAGCAGAAAAAAATTCCTGTCCACAACAGGGGGCTTGTTCACCATCGCGTTGCCACTGTAGTTAAAGCAGCAGCACCTTCTGTAAGACAGACATTGCTTGTGTCGGGGGAATGCATCACATTTTGACATGTGAAATAGCATGATGTTGCTATTTAGCGCACAGTGTGAACCAGAATCACTGTGTTTAAAATGCTGTCAGTGATCGCAGTTTATCCTGGCATCCACAACCAGTCATCGTGATTTTAAGTGGTATTGTAGCCACTGAGGTCAGCAGATCTGTCTGAATACACATGGGGAATAGATCCACTGGGTAAGCAAGGGGAATTTTACTCTTGGTTTGGGCCCAGTCTAGCGTCTGCCACTCCCAGCTGTGCTGTCTTCAGTGACTCTGGTTACACAGCAATGTTGGGCTTTATATCATTGATGATGGCTGCGTTGGACCTTTGTCTATTATAGTGAGAGTGGCTAAACACTGTTCCTTCCCTTTCAGTCGGGGGCGGCATCCCAGCCACACTGCAGGAAGTGATGCTTCCAGTGGTTGACCATGCCATCTGCTCTCAGGGTGACTGGTGGGGCTCAGCAGCCAAGGTGACCATGGTTTGTGCTGGTGGAGACGGCGTGAAATCCGGGTGCAGTGTAAGAGGCATAGTTTTTGGGATTTCCTGAGACTCTTTCTCTCTTCCTCATGTCTTCCTTCCTTCCTTTCCAGTTCAACCCAATTATCACACAAATTGGTAATCCCCAACAACACACTCCTCCCAAGGCCTGCAGCAGCTTAGGAGTGCAAAACACCTCTGGCAAGCAAACTACATCTCCTGAGAATCATCTATTGCTTTGCTATTGTTCCAAATCCCTCCTTCCTCCCACCCCGTGCACAGAAATGGGGAGGTTAATGGAAGGGAAGCTCCCAGGTTCTTGTTTTACACATTTCTCCTCAACTCTTCTGGGGAAGGCAGCAAAGAAGCTTGACTCTCTCACCAGCATCTCCTACAGATGTCCAGGACTCCCTTGTAGCCCTGCAGTCAAGGCTTTGGCAACGTCCAGAGTCCCTGTTAAAGGGACATCTCCATGGCAAAGGAACAAGGCTGCAGAAATGTAACCTCTGGAGGTGTTAACTTGCCTCCTTCAGCTTCAGGTGGCCACTAGGAGAGAAAATTTTCTCCTTCTACTCTCCTGGCCCTCCCCCAAGCATACTATGCTTACCTTGCCCAGCTGACTTCCTATGCAAGCGCCTGAGGCCACTCCAATTTGTGCCTGCATCCAAATTAGTCCTTGACTGGCCCCCATTTGGGAAGCAAGACAAGATGGTGTGAAACTATTTTAGTTATAGCTCCACTTTTAGCTCTTCCATGGGCTGTACCTCCAAGAATTCGGTCACCCCCAACAGCTAATCAACTGTTTCCACTTTTCTAAGCCTTGATTCCTGAATTACTCTGAGAATTTGGGTCAAACCAACAGCGTGTCATTTTCCCTCACTCTGGTTCCAGGGTGATTCAGGGGGTCCTCTGCAGTGTCACACGGAAGGTCACTGGAAAATCCATGGGATCGTTAGCTTTGGGATTGTCCCCTACTGCAACACCTACAGGAAGCCCACAGTCTTCACCCGAGTATCCGCCTACATCAATTGGATTTATGACGTAAGTGCCTCTCAAGTCACCAGACTTATTTCATCCAGTGTATAGCTCCCAGGAAGCTCAAGGGGTTATGCCAGAGAGAAGTCAAGGGGTTACGCCAGGGAGAAGTTGGCCCGAGCCCATTCTTTGATGGCATTATGAAGAATGGAGTTGAAAAAAGAGAGAATTCTAAGATCAGCTGGGCTATCTGCCTGCTGGGCTATCTGTCTGGTTAGTCAAGCTTTAGCCACTGACTGCAATAATATATGTGGTACCAGAACCTCAGTGCAATTCTCTGCCCTGTGTTATGCAAAAAATCAGAGTAGATCAGTAGCGAGCAACCCTTTTGGTAGGTGTGCCACAAGTTAAGACTCACCTCCATCCCAAGTGCTGCTCTGATCCCCACCCCGGAGGCAGACCTGAGAGAGTTTGTACCCAGGGTGCCAGAATGGAGGCTTCAGCCTCAGGCCACAGCCACGTGGAACGGGCAGGACACTAAAAGGAACTGGCACTGCTAGGGGCCAGGTTATTCCTTCCCTGGTTCTGCAACCCCCACAGTTTTATGTGGTAAGCGAGGATGCAAAGCCCTGGATTTGGCAGGAGATGCAGGGCCTGGGAAGGGTTAACTTGGCTCTTGGCAGTGACACCTGGCACCTCCTCTTACAGCAGCATCTTCTCTCCACTCTGCTGTACAGAGCCCTTTGCTTCCTTCCTCCATTCTGAGTGTCTGGGGCTCACATGCCACACACAGCAGCCTGTGCTACTTGTGGCACGCGTGCCACGGGTTGGCCACACCTGAACTAGATAATGTTACTGGCTTCTTCTGCTCTTAACATCAATGAATGTCCCAGTACATTTCGAGATGGACCCCTGTACAGCACTTTTTGCATATATACCACAGCCACTTGCATTCATCTGGTATCATATTCCCCACTGAGCAGATTCAGTTATAAGCTGTACCCACAAATACCCAAATCAGTTTTTGGGTTTGGACATGAATGAAGAGCTCTTGATCTCAGCAAGAGAGTTTGGCTCAATAGGCCAGCTACTTCTGGGCCCCTGACAAATTCTCTAGCAGAGAACACCCCTCCCCACCCATCCCGGCCTCCATCTGCAGAACTGGGAGAGCCACATTTGCTGTGTTCATAGTTTCATAGACATTAGGGCTGGAAGACCTTGGAAGATCATCTAATCCAGCCCCCTGCCCCAGGGGCAGGAAGTCAGCTGGGGTCAAAGGATCCCTGCAAGATAAACGTCCAAATGTCTCTTAAAGGAGTCCAGAGTAGGTGCTTGCACCACCTCTGGCAGCAGTCTGTTCCAGGCCTTGGGGGCTCGGACAGTAAAGTTCTTCCTTCTGCCCAGCCTGATATGGTCTTGGAGGAGTTTGTGACCGTTTGACCTTGTCATCCCTTGGGGCGCTCTGGTGAACAGGTATTCCCCCAGATCCTGATGCACACCCCTTATATACTTATAGGCAGCCACCAGGTCCCCCCTGAGCCAGCGCTCTTCCAGGCTGAAAAGTCCCATAGCTCTCAGCCTGTCTTCATAAGGTCTGTTTTCCTGACCTCTGATCATACGCGTGACTCTCCTTTGGACTGTTGGGTAGGACTGTGGTGCAACTGGAGATTGGAACAGTATTTATATCTTCCATTCATTTAAAAACACTGGAGAAAGCTAGCTGAATTTGTTCTGCACTGAATCCACTTTTTCTTTTTTTCAGACTATGGAGAAAAATGGTGGCTACTAAGGAAGGATCAACTTATACATGGATATGAACTATCATTAGAACGAAAAGATATGCCTGCTAATTGCATCTCTGTGGATCATCAATAGAAGAGATTGGTTGAAATAATAATAAAGAATCAATGAATTCAAAACCCATACTATTGTGCCTTCCAATCTAGTAAAACAGAACAGCTCAGGCAGAGTATAGTGTAGTTGTACTTAGTTAACATGGGCATCACACAAGTAGGGCACAAGTCCTAACACTTTATTAGACAAGCTCCCAACTTGGAGAGTTGGTACAGCTTAGGGTTGGTAAACAACTGTATTTTCCATCTTTAAGTCACCAGTTCAAAGCCACTCCCATCCAAAGGTAGTAAGAACAGCATGGTTTCTTTGTAGTTCTGTCTCAACTGAGTTTGGCCTCAGTCCAGTTATTAGTACATTGTGTCCTTTAGTGCATTTGGCACTAATGAGCAACTGAATTGGTTGCTTTAGTAGAGGGGCCTAGGACTGGATGAACCATGAAGACTGAGTTGGAGAGATGACATCCGAGGCTCTATTTTCATGAAGGAATCTCATGGTGGTATATCACAATGGAAGCCTCCCTAGTGATGAGGGAAAGGCCTAAGAGTGAGACACATTATCAGGGCAGTTGCGTAATGATCCGTGAACAGAAGATTTTGGGGCTATCAATTAGCTAGCACCGTACACAATGCAGAAATTATGGAACAAATAACCTTCCTGGAGCTTTTTCACAGAAAGAAACTCCTGGGTTTTCAAACTGCAAGTCAGCAACATTACATCCTTTCAGGCTGTCGACGTGAAGGGTCATATTTCACTGAGGTGTCAGTCCTTGAACTATGTAGATACATCCATAGATGTATCTTGTTGTTAGAATGCCTGTATTGAAGACTGTGAGATGCTGAGATAGTAGATGGATAGTAATTAATTAAGAAGAAAAAAATCTTAAGCCTTTTAATTAGTGATTTGTTTAGCAACATTCAGTTCATTAAGAGGGCAGCTCCAGCTACAAAATCTACAGCAGAACTAATCAATTTGTCTTTGGTGCAGCTTTCAATCAAGATAAGGCTTATTATTATTTACGTCACTCTGACAATACCCATGAGGCTGTACAAGGCACAAAAACAAAACTAATCCCAGCCCAAAGATTTTACAATCCAACTCCCTGACTCTGCAAAGATTTTTACATTGGCTTCAGTTTAAGCACTGGGAGTAACCACATTGAATTCACTCAGACAACTCTCAACAGGTAAAGTTAAAGTGTGAGAGTAACTTCACACTATGAATCACACCTTACCTACCTTGTAAATGAGTAAGGTGCCTGGAAGACTGAGCTTTCATGGACAGGCACAGGGGAAAAGTGACAACACCTTGCATTGGGGAACCCAGGAAAAAGGAGCTAGGCTGGATTTTAAAAACTAATTGTTAAATTGCTTACGGTGGATGTGTAAGGTGAATTTTTAGGAGGCATTTCAATGAAGTGGTATCTTGGAGGCCTGACTCCTTATATGAGGAACATTTCCATCCATTCTAGCTCACCAAGAGGGAATGTCAGAACTCACTGGCTAGGGACAGAAATTACACGTAAACTGGTATTAGTGATCAGAAACCAGCTCAAATCTGTAACACAACAGAAGTTCAGTGCGCATAACCTGCTTTCAAAATGACCAAAACTGGTTTAAGATAAACCTGGATGGGTATAATATCAGATTTAACTGATTTAGGTTAAATCAGTTTATTGAACTTCTGTTCCAGATCCTCTCTAGATTCAAATTAACTCACACTCCCTCAGCATCCCAGGATGCTTTGCATCTCTCCTGCAACCCCCCTGTACCCCTCACAGTGTGGACAAACTAGCCTTGCCCCAAGCTACCTGCTCTAGCCAAGCAGGGAAGCCTGCTCTAGCCCCCCGCCCCCTGCCTCCCCCTTGGTTCCTGGCCTGGGCCACTACAGGCACTTGGCTGTATTTTCAGAATCAAAAGTGAATGTCTGTTCACTTGTTTATCAGTTCAATCTATGCAGCTTAGTCTAACCTGCAAAGATTGAATCGATTAAGCCTCAGGCTTTTTGACTGTGTGTACTTACCCATTGAGGTTCATGGTGCAATATGAAGAAAAGGACAGAGATGAGGGATGGAGGGAGACAAATGTCTTCTAGGCCGGTATTGCTAGCAGAGTGCTGAGTGCAGGTCTGGATGAAAGGCCATAGAAAGTAAAGTCTTTTTCATTACTTTTCCCTTACCATGACTTATATGCAGTGGGGTTTGGGGATGTTGGAATTCAACATCCCAGACAGTTGGAGATTAGCAGCAATATATACAATATTTTTGTGGACTGTTTTAAGCTGCTTAGGGGATGATTCAGAACCATTCACCAATAATAGTAGGTTATGAAACTAGTGTAACTAGTATCTGCAGCTAACAGTTTCATTTTATGGCTAATTATAGTCTGCATGGTGGATCTTGGAGGAAAATATGGGGAAAAATTCCCCTGCTAAATCCTCTTATGCCAAAGACATAGACAGGGGTGGATCCAGGATTTGGCAAAGTGGTGTACAGGAGCAGTAAGCTATGCTCTAGGGATGGCTACATCCCACACTGCCAGCATCTCCCTCTGCCCAACCTCCCCTTCACCCACTGGTGTGGACAGATCAGGCAGGGAGAGCGTCTGGGAATTTTTTTAGCTCCCAAACCAGGTAAGAGTCCTGCCCCCACCTTCCCTCCTGGGTCATGTGCGGGCCGGGAGCGGTCCGAGGCCCTCGGGGGCGCGCGGCGGGCTGTGGCCAGCAGCCCGGACACGCCGGGTCGGGGAATGCAGGCGGCGCGCTAGAATTAGGCACGGAAGCTTAGCGGTTAATTAAAGATTATTTTACACCGAAGATGGTCGCGGTGCAGGCAGGAAACCTTGCTTGAGTTGCGGTTACAGACAGAAAAGAAGAGAGGCGGACTAGAGTTCCTTCCACGCGAACCTCTAGCCCAATCTGGGTGAAGACTCTAAACCGCGAGCCCGTCGTGTCAACTGAAGAAAATAACTCGAAGCAGAGAGCTCTGAATACACTCACACGAAGTTTGCTAGGCTCCGTGGAACTTGCGTGCAGGGGAGGGTACGTCGAGGGATCAGGCGGCAACGGGGAGAGGCCAGAGGCTGATCGGACCCCTATAGCCTGCACTGGGTCCGATAGGCTCCGCAGCGCCAATCGCTAGCCGCCACGTGGGAATAATTTAGAGCTGGCCAATAGTGGGACACAAATTTGCACGCGGGTGGCGGGAACTCCTTTGCACCATGCATTTCCCTCTTTGCAACTCAGAAATGCACCCTGCAAAGAAAGCTCCGAGTGGCAGGAAATAATTTAGCAGTGCCGAAGCGCACACACACAAAATCACACCCTTGGGTTGTGACAGGTCACAGTCATGTCCCCTCCCCACCCCTGCCCCCATCCCCCACCTATTGTTTTCCCAGCTGTCCTGGGGAAGCTTAAGTGCCACTTTTGCCTGCTCTGGAGGGGTTGCGTAGGGACTGGGCTCAGTTGGACACATAACAGGACAGCAGCAGTGGTGATGGGTGGGTGGGTGGGTGTGTTCCCCCACCTTGCTTGGTCCTCAGAAGTAGGCACAGGGAGGGCGAATCATCTCCCACATCTCCACTGCTGCTGCTGTCACTGTCCCAGCTGAGCCCAGGCCCTGCACAGCCTGGCTGGAGTGGGCAGGAGTGGCTCTGAAGCATTTCTCCCCTGAGATGTCCAGAAAACAGCAGCAGCAGGGAATTTACGGGCAGGGTCATGCCTCTGAGCAGGAGGGGAAGAGAGAGTATTTTCACCTGCTTTGGGGACTTCAGAAAAGTCCCCAGAGGTCTATCTTGGCGTGGTCCCATCCTAAAGGGGATGCAGCTATACCACTGCAGCCCCTCTGGATCTGCCCCTGTACATAGATAATGCTTTTAAATGGTAGAACTCCTGATTAATTTACCATTATTTCCATTTCAACTCATTAACTTCTTTGTGCTGCCTTGTCTTCCTTCTGAGAGCTGAAGTCTCAAGCAACCGCCTGAACGAATCGTCTCCAACGGTAGGACAGAAACCCTGCCTGTTATTAACTACACTCATCACAAGAGGGCACCATCACATCAAAGAAATACTTAATGCAGCCATCTGCACAAAGCCACTTTGGATCCAAGGATGAAATGGTACGTATAAAACTTTGCATGCTATCCTTTATATTCACATACAAATGTATCGAAGATGACTGCTTTTCAGGTACAGTTTATCAGCAAGATCTCCTTACTGATTTACAAATACGACTTGTATATTATCAGAGGTTCACACCAAGATGAAATCAGTGAATAATTTTTGTAAGGGTTATAATAATACAGTTGGGTATCTGTACTGATTGCTACTGATCACTAAGTTATTTGACTACCCTTGATTATATATTCTAGATGCTCACATATATTAACAAAAAGCCTTCTCCTGATGGTGAAAAAATAGTATTGGGTATCTCACCTTAGCAATTTTTGATATTACAGAATGTTTTTTACTCCATTATCTCATCATGTGTGTAAATTTTTTTTGCTGTAGCATCAAGTAAAAATATTTTGAACCTGACAAAAGAAAGTAGACTTTTAAAAGTCATCCAAATGGTGAAGGACAGTCTAGAGAGCTGGGCAAAATGATGTTAGGCTTAAATGCCTCACCCTTTATATTTTAATTTCTTAATTTTGATTTAAATAATAGCTGAAAAGATGCATATCCAGGGCTCTAGGGTTCTGATGTTTGGAGAGAGCACCAAGGACTAGATGCAAAAAATTACAAAGGTGTCTAAAAGGTTCAAAGCCTAATGTTTAGATGCTTGCCCCCTGGGGTAGTATCCAGAATCCTGTGTTAGGGAGTGCAAAGGGAGAGCACCGTCAGTGTGCACCACTCAGCAAGCTGGGCAGGAAAACGCTCAGAAGGGAGCCCTTGAGACCAGTGGGGATCAATCTTTTTGGTAGGCATGCCACAAATTAAGCCCTGTGCCCGCCCTAAGAGCCATTCCAATCCCCTTCCCCTACCCAATCGGCTGTTCTGCTTTCTGCTCCCAG